GCTTCCTGGTGTTGCAGTAGTCGACTAAACGGTCGGGAGATGTATGCTGCAGGGCCTCAGCCCCCCCCCCCCCCCCTATGTTGGTGGCTGCCACCATCGTGGCCCAGGTGCACCCTCGATAGCCGCCAGCTGTAGACCCCAGCGTGCTTCAAAGACGAAAAGCAGGGGATGTAGGAGAGCCAGCCCTTTGTTCCACACTCGAACAACATGTACCGGTTTGAGTTGAGCTCAGGACCGGAGTCACTCGTATATCTGTTGTCGGGAGGACTTGCAACCTCCGCCTGCTGCAGGCAGAGTCAGTAACACAAAGCGTGCCAGCAGCAAAACCTTGTACATGAATCTTCAAGAGAAGCCATGAGAAGCCAGTACAAGTAACCGGCAAATCAATGCCTCCGGTTTGGCCGCTGCAGTTCACTGGAGTCCTCCAAGTGGAAATTTGATGCAGGAGCAGGTGACGGTGTTTGGTTGCTTAGCCATCTGCTTGCTGAGCTGCTTAACCATCTACAGGCACTGCGCACTGATCTGATGATGTCTGATGTGCAGAATGCCGAGATCTCTACCTCAAATTCGCTGCCAGCACGCAAGCAGGTGGGAGAGGTCTTGAGACTGGAGCTTGTCAGCCTGGGTGTCAAGTGGGTCTAAATAGCACTACAAGGCTTGCATCGGGTCACTCTCTAGCGCGTGGGCTGCCCCTGTCCGAAGCCTTCGGAAGAAAAGAGAGAGGTAGCAACAGACATCAAAGCAAAGAGACTGAGACTGGGGAAATGACAAATTATCACTGTCATGTTATGTGAGCCGGTGGTTCGATTGAAGTGCACGAAGGCTGCTCCTCAGCTTCCAGGCATCTGTCAATGATGCAGAGCCAGCTGCTCAAACCTGGCTTAATAGGTGGTTTCGGCTTCGCTGGACTTGTCGAGGTCTGGTTCTGGCTTGCCAGGAACTTGGTGCGTTTGTTGGAATAACTATGACAAGTGCCGCACCTGGCTTGTGACAAAGGACTCCCTTGATGTGCGCGGTGAGAGTTGGAGCTTCTGAAGTGGACGCCAGCTAAGCATCTGGCATGCCAGGCTTGCTGCCTTTGCTCGATTTTTGTCGAGGTTCGCCAACTGATCATTGCCAAAGCTGTCGTCATCTCGGAAGCTGGAAGGGTCTTTTTCGCCACGAAAGCGCCCAGGGCCTTACAGCCACGGCTCAGGACCTGCATTTGCGAGACGCGGCGAGCCGGCCGGGACTGCGGCTTGCCTTTGTTAGTCCTGCTCGTGCTTCCGTGTCTCCGAGGTCGGCACTCCACCACGCTGCCGCGTGCGGGGACGCTGCTGCCTGAATCCTAGATTTGAATTCGAACTCTCAGTCGGAGCACTGCGACCCACGGGCTGTCAGGTTCGAGATGCGGCGGAGCTGCTGCGGCGGCGTGCAGAGGAGAGAACAATAAGGGCTTCTGTAGCGTCAAGCCCGTCAACCTCGAAAACAAGCCGGCATACCTTGAATTGAGTGTGGTTTCCGCGGTTGGGGTCTCTAGTTAGAAGGCTGCAGGCCCTGCATTCCTTTACGGAAAACAGCAACTGGAGACGAAATCCGCCTGTTGCTCATGCATGCAAAGTGCAGATCCCTGCTTCGGTTTGTGCCGTTTGTCCAGGCGAATGCTAGTGATTCGGAAGGAGCAACGCCCTTAATGCACGGTGCCCAAGAATGCATCGGCGAGCAGCACAGATTCTCGTAGCACAGGCTTGAGGCTTTGCAGACAGTGCGACGTTGTTGTCACTGCCGTGTGACTCGGGGCTTGGACTTGCAGCGAGACGACTTTACCAAGTCGATTCTGCAGAGGCTTGCCGCCAGCCTTGGGGCTCCCGAGATGATTCGCTTCCTGTTAAAACAAGGCTGGGATCAGGGAGTCAAGAGCATCGGGTAGCTGTGAGGCCATTTGACGGCATCGACGGACTGCGCTCTCACCACTGCCAGGTGCATCGCCTCAGGTCTGCAGGGCAATGCTGTCGAGATCTCAGTGTGCATCTCAAGTCAGTATGCAGGGAACGGTTGGTATCCACAGAGCTCAGGCCCAACATTTCCCACAATGCAAGTCAGTGCCCGATGTTTTCTCCAACCCATAGGTTTTGCAGTGGTCCATTTCATGTCCAAGAGGTCTGGAGATCTTGCGGGGCATTCTCTGAGACTTTCTCGAGTCGACGCGTCGCTTTGCATTGTCCGCAGATCATGCCGGTGTCAGCTCGTTTGGTGCTGTACTGAAGTATGGAACAAGACATCGCAAGAACAAGGCAGATACGAAAGCTTGAAGATGGCTTCAGTGACAGGCATGATGTGTAGTGTGGTCCAAGGAGTTAGGTGCTCTTGAAAGTGTGAGGGCCCCTCCTTGCTGTACATAGCCACAGTGACTTTGCATCCCGCATTGCGGGCTGGCGGCGAAAACAATGCGCACCACCAACCCCGCCGTGATTCAGCATATGGAATCATGTCGCACAGGTTAGTGAGATTTAGATACAATCGAGATGCACAGCACAATCGAAAGTTCCTTTGTTAAGGGTCGCTCGCCTGGCCTGTCCGAGTTGTGAGAGCGTAGTGAAGAAAACATGATCAACTCGGTCGCCGGTTCAGATGCAACAGAAACTACACTATGGGGCAGCCGACTCGATGGTGCAGATGGAACTAATTGGATCTTAAAACCATGCAAGCAGGTTCGGGAACTGGGACGATTTTACATTGTTTTACATACTTTGTCTTCTGTGGGAAGCTGGAAACAAGCAAGACTAATCAAGTGCTCATGTTGAGGCACTTGTGAAACCTGCTGAATCCATCGCACAGGCCACGTTTTCCTGCACAGCATACGTGAAGTTTTAGTGGTTTGATCCTACACATTGACCCGAAGACTCCCGAAGACTATGTATCCCATCGTCCCTCCGCCAGCGCAAAAACGCGCGGCGCGTTTTCGCGCTGTTTTCGGGTGCCTGA